AACTACTGATTGTTCTGGTGCGAGCCGATAGAACTGACAAAGATTTCTGGATGGATGTCAAAACGTCTTCAGAAATAGCTGATTTTGTTTTTCCATTTTTAGCCTGTTTTGTGGTTAACATGACCCAAATAAGTGAGAATATACACAATCATTTATAAAAAAATTTTGTTACTTTCTTTGGGGTTCAACGTTTTATTGTCATTACATTGTCACAAGTACAGAGCAACAAAATTAACTCTCTGCATTTAAGCCATCCCCTTGTGGAGCAGTGGGCTACCTTTGTTAGGCACCCGGGGAGCAGTGTGGGGGGGAAAGGGTCTTGCTCTGGGATCCAGAGTGGTCCGTGGGAGTGGACCACTCTGTCAGGATTCCAATTGCAATGCCCTAACCACTAGGCTGCCACTTCCCAAAGCAGGCAATAGTGTGAAGGGTGTTGCCTAAGGACCCACACTGGCAACTCATTCCCCCCAGCTGGGAAAAGAACCCAGGCTTCCTGTTTACAGGACAGGTGACTTACGACTTCAGCTAGCCAGCCGCTTACTTCTGTAATTTACTCATCCCCTTGGGAAGCAGTGGGCTGCCATCGTGGGGCGCTCGGGGAGCAGTGTGGGGTTAAGGGTCTTTGCTCAGGGAGCCAGAGTGGCATTCTGTGGGAGTGGGGCTCGAACTCAGAGCCTCAGGATTCTCAGCTCTATGCCCTAACCTCTAGGCTGCCATTCCTCCTGATCATTCGCCAATAGTTAAAGTTAAACCGTGCCTAACCAATATGTTCAGTACTGAGGTAATGATTTGTTAATCTTGTGAAATAGCTTATTTTATATCTTCATTCCAACCAACATTACTGCAACTATTGGCTCCTGCTGTTAAAGCCTCCTATGTTCAACTCTTTTTATCATGGCAGTCACGTTCCACAGAAAGTCACCAAATTCATGGTAAGTGCTGCCCCTTACCCAACTTTAAGCTAGTCTGTACGATTGAAATCAACTGGTCTGTCCCCAAACATTGACAGCTCTAGTTATACAACTGTGGTCAAACCCTAAGCCCACTCATGACGACCAAGTGAGTAGCTCACTCCAAAGGCTGTGGATGCAAATTCTCAGCTACTTCTATCTAGAGGTGGGATATGTGGAACCATCAAGGCATTTCTATGTCATGTATTTATTCTAGTCCCAGTCACTGAACAAGGTGAGTCCAATCTGCACAGTGAATTAAACTGTGCAGATTGGACTCACCTGGTTCAGTGGGTGGGCAAAACAACATGACATAGGGATGACTTGTTGACTCCACATCTCCCCACTCTGGTTGTATCCACTGAGCCCGCTCTGCTGACAGTAAGGATTGGGTGGAGCTGAATCTAATTCCGCTCTCATATTTCCCAAAAAAATAAAAAATAAAAGGCAATAACATGATAAGCTGGTAGGCTCTACAGTCTATAACTTGTTATTACACCCAAACCCTGGCTTAAAATCATAGTTATTTGGCATATATTTAGGACTCTGCCAAAACAGGTAGAAATAATTCTCTAAGTAGATGTTAGAGTGGATTTGCTAGTTTTTATTACTGCTGCTAAAAGTTCTCCATAGACGAAGACAACAGGTGAAAATAGTGCAAACTTATACAATGCTACACAGAGAATGTAAACTCATCAATATACACAAGCACCTCTTTATATGTTCAATGTTTTAACAGCTTTGTCAACACTGAAATAACTCCATCATGGTTGTTTTCTTCTTGATGCTGCCTGGTCGTGATATAACTTATCTTTCAGGGTATCTACTCAAAGAGATAAGTTTGTGAAGGTAGTTATAATCAGTCCTCTAGTGCATACAAGTTAGTTATTCCACATATTTTGTCAGGGTTTTACTTCTAGGCTCTTGCTTTTTTCTTTCTTTCAAGTCATGTGAATGAATATCATGCAAGTCTCTGGTGATGTCCTACTTTTGTTATCATTTACTCAGACCAAATATTTAATCTACAAAGTCCTGGTGTGCTGTTTGGTGCTGACAGCTGATACAAACTGCTAATGAGAAAAAAAATCACTTTAGTTTGCAATACTTACTGATAAATTGATGAACATCAAAGCGTAGGGCATTTGAATTATTATTTAGGAATATTTTACTTTATTATACAAACAAACAATTAAGTTTTAGTTTTCTTTCTATATTACACTTCATACTCATCTCAGTTAACAAAGGTTCTGGGTTCAATTCCCAGCCAGGGGTCTTGCTACCTGGAGTTTGCATGATCTCCCCATGCATGCGTTGGTTCTCCGTGGGCACTCTGGCTTCCTCCCGCAGTCCCAAAACATGAATGTTAGATTAATTGGCTTCTCTAAATTTTCCTTAGGTTTGAGTGTGCAAGGTAACAGACCAAATCAGGATATACCCTGACTCGTGCCCACAGACTTCCAGGGACTGGCACCGGCCCAACCCCTGACAGAATAAGTGGGAGAAGATGGATGGATGGTTTTAGTTAAATATAATAACCCCAGAGTGACGAGGGGAGGATAGGAATCAGCTTATCTAAGCCTAAGGCTATGGTTCTCAGCTGGAAAAATTGGAATTACTTTATTTGGGTTGGAAGTCAGTCTTTTCCTCAGTCTCTGTCAAGATTATTTGCAGGATTGACCAGTGACAGATTGGGGTTCAGTTAAGGTGGAAAGTTATGAATACAGGAACATTTCAAGTTTTAAATTCAAATATTGAGCTGAAAGGTGATACAATTAAGCCAATATAAACTGCAGAGATAATCAAGTATATGTACAAACACTGGTAAAACTATTTTTAAAGACAATTTATTTAAGATAAACACATAATTTATTTATTCTAATCGATTAGTATATAATCATTTTAAGTTTCCAATTTTTCATTTTAGAAATCTTACCATCACTTTTTTAGGTCCTTCGTGAGAAAGGTCTGCTGCCTGCCCATTACCATGATCAATGCACTGTGTGTGGAAGAAAATAATATCTAGTAGCTTCTCCTCAGTTCAGGACATTCTGCTTTTCGTTACAGAGAGCTGAGTGACCCTGCAGCACAGCAATAATGCCTCCCTCTGCATCATTAAAGAGCCATTTTGCTGACATCTCAAGGCCATTACCTCTGAAAGACACAATTTCATGAAATGCACCCTACACCCCTAAGTAAAATAGCTTTTCGGTGTCTGTATAATTATGTCTCCACACATACAGTATGTACCCTGTAAAAACGAATCGGAACAGATTAATGATGCTGCTGCCGGATCAGCAAGTGGAAAACTTGAACAAACTTTGGTAACTTTCTCCCTCGTCCACACCTGTCCTCATTATCTGTCCTTTCTGCGTCAATTGATCAGCAGGCCTGCAGCACCGGTCTCTTCTCATTATTAAAGAAGTCTGACAGAGACGTCTCCTCCTCTTCCCCTTCAGCCCGTTCTTTCTTTCACGGTCACAAGCTGCTTATTGCTATCCATCGGGGCCATCGGACCAAGAGAGTGCATCCAGTTCTGTCACTCAGTCCGATAAGCACAGGGGGGAAATAACAAAGATGAAAGACATGCAGAACGAGAGCCATGGCTTGGCCCAGATGTTTGCATTCCTTTTCTTTGTTGATAAACCACAAACCCCCTAAACTCTCAGTGTGTCTGAGCTTTTCTTAGTTTAGAAACTTATGTGGAGTTGGATTCTCACAAAGAGTAAGGTCTAAACTTTTACTGGGTCATTCAAAAAACTTTTTTCCTTTTACAACTGGTGTGGCTTTAAGTTATCTTTAAGGCTTTTAAAGAATTAGAGGCCACTGTGTGTTTTTGGGACAGTTCATTTGTTACAGTTATTTTTCTGTGGACTCATAGGGATCTTTATAGGTTATAAAGTGTGGTGGCTGTGTCACTGTTTTATCATTTTATGCATTTATCTAACTAAGTGATGAGAGCAGCTTCTTTAATATCAAAGCCTGGTCAACACTGAGTAAGAAGTTACTTTTCAATAGTTGCTGACCTAACAGCCCAGGTCCTCTATGGAAAAAATGTCAATGTCAAATGCATTTATTGTTATTTATTGTTATGTTAATTGGTGTTGTTGTCTTTTCTGTAAAGCACTTTGGTGCAGTTTTATACCTGTTTTAAAGTGCTGTATAAATGAATTTGACATTGACATTTGACAAAAAATAAGATATAATAAAAATAAAGTCTCTGTAAATGTATTGAGTTTTTTTTGTTACTCATTTCATAGATGAAATACAACCTAAAACATCCATATACTTTGATCTAAATGATTAAATGTAAGCTATGGATGTGTGTCCAGCATGATGTGATACTACAGAACCTCTGAAATTACACTGAATTTTATTTAGGGGTCCCAAAGTAAACCTACTTCTACTTCCTGTGAGTTTTTTTTTACATGTTGCAATCACTTATGTTAGTGTCAGGCCATTTAAGTTTCAATTTGTCACATTAGATTATGCAAACTGGATTATTTTTAAGTGAGATTCAACTATATGCTTGGCTAAATGTCTATCCATGCACAACAGGTCACCTTTGTTTCTTCAGAAATCTTTAAATGCGTATGATTACCTTTGCTGATCAGCAAGCTGAACAATGAGCCGTCTTTTATCCCCTCCATCCCCCCAGAGAGAGATAGGAATCCAGGGAAGAGCTACTCATATAGCTGCTGCCATCTGTTCTTTTATTAGTTCAGAACATCGGTTCTCTGTCTGAGCATTAAAGGTCATTAATATTCATACAACATTCATATATGGAAACGTTGCCAATGGAGCTTGGGTATTAGTGTCAGAGTCAGGATAGGACAAGTCGCACTAATTAATGACTGATGGCTGGACCATTAGCAGCCAGGCTCTCAGTCTGAGTCAATGTACCACTAAGCTATGCTCTCAGAGCAATGGCTCTATTAGACATTGCAGCATTTAAGAAATTTTATGGCTTTTTCTGAATGAACAGGTTGACGTTACGAAGAGATTTTAAACTATGTTTTAATTGGTTTTCCTTTCTGTTTCACTGACCTTTAGGTTGTCTGTTTGAGGACAAGCTCTGTGCACCATATGAGTTCTGCATCAATGGTAAGTACAGCTTAGAGATTATATACACCAATTTGTCTTGTCATGGTTCCTACTCAGTTGAGAAAGATGTGGAAAGGTCTGAAATACACTTTTTTATCAGTTTCTAGCTCTGCTTAAAAATGGAGTCAAACCTTTATTCAATTCCTAAAGCTGCTTGATTCCAGTAAAAGTAAAACATGCTTTTGGTTAAACAAAAAGCTGTCGAACTAATAAGTTAGATTTGATTTAATATCTAGTTTTAAGTTATCATATAAAAAAGATAAAGTTATTTTAAAATTAGTTTGTTTTATAATAAAAATAACACAAAACATTAAGAGTTGTTTACAAACAAGGATTCTGATTTTACTGTAAATGTTAATTGTGTGTGTTGTTCACATTTTATTAAAACAAGCTTGATCTTCATTCTGTGAAATTTCTTATGATGGGGAGAGAAGCCAAAAGTAATTAATTAAGTAAAAGTAAAAAAGTGTTGTGTAGTAAAACAACTCCTGAAGACCTTTTTTTCCCCTGTAATTAAGTAGAACTGGATATTACCCACCCCTGTTATGTGTGGCTGTGTGTTTTGGGAAAAAGGATGCAATATTTATAATCCCTATCTCCCTCAGCATGAGATCATTTTTTGTAATGTCAAAGTCTTATTCCTGCTTTTAAAAATTGTAAAAAATTTAGTTTGACTTTCATATTCATATCTAACAATCTTAAGCAAATGTACACACTATTTAAGAGAACAGCACGTATAGACAGGTTTCTTTTTGATAACTTCTCCTTTATTATAGTGCTCTAATAAACAACACTGTCTACATCAACCAATCATTACATTAACTGCTGCACTGATCGATATCATGACTTTTTCCTTCATATGATGAGAAATTCCTTGCACAGCAGAAATGATCAGAAACCTCACATACAAACCAGTCTGTCCTGGAAGATGGATGTGTCTGTGTCTGTGGTTGCCATGACAACATGTCGCCCCAATGAATGAATGGATGAAGGTGAAAATGTCAGGTTTTTCAGCTGAAACCACACACCAAGACTAGTTTTGAAGGGAACTGACAGGAATTGGATATTAAAGTTCATCTTAGTCGGCACACTTAAATGGACTGAAAATATTCTTCTCCTTAATGGAAGGTTTTATCAACAAAAATCATCCTCATTCTTATTTCCTCCTTCTTTACCTACAGACATTTTGACTAAGTGCCTGTTTGCTGAGGTTGTGTGGTTTTCTGCTACGTTTGCTGTCTGCTAAGTCTTGTCCAATTATGCTTCTTACAAACAAGAGGAAGCAAGCCAAGGCACGACTTGCACTTGACAGACAATCAGCCTGCTGGGGAACATGATGTGACTGCATGGAGGAACCAGAGAAGAAGACTAGAACAGAAAAAAGATAGGACACACACAATTTGTGACTTTATCATAGAAGTAAGATTATTGGATTCTAACTTTAACACGTTATTCTGATGCTGCAGTTTTTTCTTGCTTTCTAACATGATGATCTTAAAACAATACATATTTAATAAAACATTTATTTATCAAGAATCTTTAATTCATTCTTAAAGGAACTGTCTCGATACACGCAAAGATTCAGTTATATTTCCTAAATTTGCAATAATTCATAAAGCTCTCAATATATTAGAATAAGAAAGCATAATTTAAATAAATATATTTAATCTTCTCTGTATATTTTGTTATTTACTTGCCTCTATTTCCTTTAATTAAAATATTCTATAATTAATATAAAATGGTTTAGTGCTCAATATATAATATCTATAAAGAAAATTAGAATAGCTACTCTGTTTTTATCAAGCAATTTAAAGCAAATAATGTTTTTGTCAAAAATGCTATGACATTACGTAAAACAAACTATTCTCAAGTATCAGATAGTATGTTCAGGATTATATATTTCGACTTTCAATGTTGTCATTTCTAGTTCTTACTAAAGGATCTTCAAATGATACAACAATGATTCATGTTGGTTGATTTGTTTTACAGAAAAAAAAACAAAAAAAAAAACAGAAAAAACAACACAAGGAGCCTTAATAATACAGTTGAAAACCAGCAACAAAAATTATTCTATAATACAACTGTGAAAATGAATGTAACAGCCAGTAACAGTATAGGGTGTGTTTCGGTATGCACCATATTAGCAAATTTGGAGACCTCCTTTCTTATTTCCATATTAACCCAGTTTCAGGGGAACTTGTAAAGAAGACCGAGGAGAGGAGAAGCCACTTTAATTACAGATCCCAGATTTATTCAGAGGGGAGGCTAATGGATGGAAACTGCTGACAGCTTAATAACAAAATATCTTCTGGCAGAAAGAATGTTCTTGCTGTAGGTGCACCATTTTAATTTATGCTGATGAGGTTTGCTCACACCACTGTCTAGATCCAAGTTAAACAGGGTGTGAGCCGTAAACTTTAACCAGTTATGTGTATTACAAAAGCATGATGTGTTTGAATACATAAATGTGTTCTCCACACAGAATGCAAATAAGCAGCTATGCTGTAAGTGAGTATGGTTGCAAACCATCTGTGCCTACCCATGTGTCTTCCCTCTTTCACTCTCCACTGGACTCTCGGTGAGTGACAGCCACAGCACAGACAGATGATGAGTGGGAGTAACTAGGTCTGTCACTTTCACTCTAACACAGGTCCCTGATGGAGTAACCTGGTTTATTCTCGGCTGGGCGAGACATCTTCTTCTTCAGCCCAGCAGTTGCCATGCAGAATGGTTAGGAGGCAGCAATAGCTGTGCTTAAGGTGGCCTAACATGGCAAGCCAATCTAGCAGTTATGAAAGTGAATATGTCTTGAAGGAAATTAGGATCTAGAGTCCCTAAAAAAAAACACCATGAAAATTTTACAATTTTGTTAAGTTTTCTAGTATGTTGTTTTTGCTTTTTATTTTTAAGACTAAGACTAAGTATTCTATAATTATGAAATTTTACAGATAAAACAACTAAAACAACAACAAATCAGCGAACCTATTCAAGAGTGTTGTATTTCTTTTTTTTAAGCCAACGTGGTGGTGGAGGTTGGATGACGACCCAAATGCAGAGATGAGGGAGACAAAGATAAATTCTTGCAGGTTTAATAAACTCAAAAGGGCACCAGAAACAAAATCCAAGAACAAAATACTAGAGACCAAAAACCAGGGGAAAACACACAGGAGGAGCCAACCAACAACAACAAGGAACCAAAGGGAGAGTATATATGGGAGACAGAACAAAGACTGGGGTAATTAGCTGATATGGAGCAGGTGTGGATAGAAGTGACTAGAAGGGAGTTAGGGAAAAGGAGGCAGACACAAGGGGCAACAGAGAGTAACTCAAGACAACTTAAATATAACACAAAATGGAAAATAAACCAAAGATCAACAAAACAGAATGGCTTTGATGACTGAAAACTCAAAACTCAAAGTCCAAAAGGGAAGAAACCTAACATAAACGCCCAGATAAAAACAAGACAAGGGAACAGAGATAAAACCTTTCATTGAAATAAAGTGCTTACAGCCATCTCATTTTAGAGTAATTCACTGGAAATAACCTCTATATTGTATAAGGCTCTGACATTCATATTTCATGGTTATTATTATTAATCATCATTGAGTTAAGCAGGTAACCCGCATGTTATCATCTAACACTTTCTGCTTTGCAAAACATTTCATCATAAATGCTGATAACTTACTTCTGGTGTGAATACAAATATGCAAAAATGTTGATTTGATGTCATAAACTGGAGTAAACAAGATAGCAGTCATTTAGATGAGGCAGCAATTCATTGTTAAGTTGGCTAAACTTAATACTGTAGCTACAACTTTTGTTTTTATTTCCCTTACACTAATTTGACTGTCGGAAATAGGATTTTAATTGCACTGTTAAGTAAGACCATAATAAGCATATTTAGATCTTATTAGGGCAAGTGGAGTAAAGTCATTTTAAAAGGATTACTTTTAGTATTTACCAAAGTTACTATTATTGAATGAATAAATCATTACCGTACTATTCATCATATAATCTCTGGCTGTCATTTCGTGTTCTGTAAAATCTTAAGAAAGTTGCTGCTCTAGGCGTTTTTTTTTTTTTTTTTTTTTTGAAAGGATAAGTGATTACCTGGAAAGGCCTTTTAATTTTCTGCACTCCAGAGTGTTTGACTCACTAGTTGGACAGACTCAAACCAAAGTGCAGTGGATAAGTGCTGGGTGTTTCCCTCGGGGTGGCGGTTGGCTCCTATTAAACACTTAAACCAACAGAGTTGGATCGATCTGTGGTTATCCCGCTTCCAATTAGGCCAATATTGCCTGAGTCTGCACTGTATTTTAAACTTAAGTGATTTAGGTGATGCCTCTATTGATCTGCAGCGTGTTTAGCTGAAGCATAAACATTAAGCATGGAAATATCTGACAAGTTTGTACAGCCTGAAAAAGGAAAGAATGAAGTGTTGACTTTACAGGTAGTAAAGAGTACAATAGAAGAATGGAAATTTAAATTAAGCTATCGTACTGCAAAAAAAAAAAAATCTTTTTAGCAGGAGGTCTTTGATAAAGGATGGAGAGTCTTTTTTTATTCCTCTATTTAAATGTGCATGAATATGATTATCATTTCAAAGCAACAACTGCCTCAGCTAAAAGGCCAGAATCGCCCGTAAACACTTCATTAGTCATAGTCTGATCACTATAGCTTTTGTTGCTGCACCTTTTCTTTGCTAGAGTGCCACATCTGGTCCAGTTTCGGCACATTGATTTGAGCCTATTCATTTTCGTGACAAGAGCTGCACAGCTTATACACCTGTTCCACTACGTCTTAATTTGTCTCCCGGGTCCGTTCCTCTCTCCTCCAGACACCTTGGTGACTGTCAGCTGTAGTTCCAGCTCCTGTTATCCTCCTACATTAGCTTTCACAGTTTAAATGGCTTTAGCGGCAGACGGAAGTCACTGTCTGTCACAGTGGGAAGACAGACGAGATCTGGATCCAAAGCTTCCTTTTTAGCAGAAAATCCTATT